TATTCACACAAAACTCAATGAGTCATTCAAGCAAAAGTTTCAAAAACTTCATTTTTTTTTTCCAATTTTTAGAAAGCACCCAAATTATTCCCTCCCCCACACTTAAAGGCTACATCGTCCCCGATGTAGAAGCAAAACAAGAAGAAGAATCAAGAATAATAAGCACAAAGGGGTAAGGGTCAAGCTCGGGGCATAAAAGAAACATACTAGAAAACTACTAAGGCAAAATATCTAGACTAATAAGCATGCTAAGAATTAAAGGTAAATAAAAGCTGAAAATTAAAGTTTGAAAGTTAAAGCAGCAAAAGTTTTGAACACGATCCCATAACCAAAACCACAACCAAACAAAAGAACCATCTTCACAAAACCATCATCAGAATCCATGGTAGCGAGGATCATAGGGTTGGTCAGGGCCCCCAGGCGGGTGAAAGTATGCATGAGGGTAGAAAGGAGGTGGTGGACCCGTAGGGGTCTCTGGTGGGAAGAAACTGCGAATCTCCATGACAGACGTGCGGAGGTTGTTGACAGTGCCATACAACGTATCCAAAAGTGCCCCTTGCTCTCTTTGCTCAAGCTGCATTGCCTTCATACTGTCAAGCATTTGAATTTCGAACGGTGTCATGCTTGCCGATGATGATCCCTCTCTAGTCCCAACAGCTTCTTCCATGCACTGATTAGCATTAAGCTCTGCATGTTCCTCTTCCCCTGCATCAGTCTTTTGCCTCTTTCCCTCTTTCTTGTTTGACTCAGCTCTCATAATGTTGATCATGTTGCGGTCGGTGATTTGATGCACTCCATCGGATGATGGCCCTGAGATATTCACTGTTTTTCCACTACCCTTCACCAATCTAGTCAAGAATGGCCCGATATAAAGAGTATGCACATTTGGAAGGTGCTGGCTGTGAAATAGCATCCCAAGGAGATAACCCATATGAACCGGTTCCTTCTTAATGATGCCATAAAGGCAAAGAAGATCAGGTAGAGAAACCCGGTTCGTTGTGCCATACCTAGCACAAATGCAATGAGCAACAATATAATGCAAAACTTTATACTCCCTTCTTTTGAATGTAACATTGGAATTCCGGGAGTACTCCAGTGCCACAGCCCCTTCAACTATTTCTTGCCAGAATTCGTCTTCATTAGAGACTTCAAGGTGCCGTGCATCCTTTTGGGATTCAGTTAAATCTTGTAAGGCATCAAAACCCATACATCGGCTCATCAGATCATCCAAAGAAAAATCAAACCTTGTGTTGCCCAGCTTAAAGGTAATTGCCCGGGAAGTTGTGAAAGTGAATGGGAACACCTGCATTGTGACCAACGCTTCGTGCAACATGTCAATGTGTGTCTTCTCTTGAAAATCAAACAACAAGTATCTCCACTCTGGGGTTGTGACCAACTCATCAATCAGTGCATCCAATCCAAAAGGTTTAAGTGTCTTCAAGTCAATTGTTGCCACTGTAGCAATGGGTTTCTGCTTGAATTGGATATATCTAGCTTCATAATTTGGCTCTTTGAAATGGAGCTTGTCTGTTCCAAAGTTAGGTGAGGCTTTTGGAGCATCACGCCTTACCACCTGTTTAGTTCTCTTCATCTTTCAAGAAAATAACACAATTAATGGGATAAGGGAACTAAAATCAACCAATTCTTGGGATTGAGTGCTCAAATATGAAGTAAATATGCAATATATACATATGAAAAAGCAAAAGAAAGAAAGAAAGAAAAATAATAATAATAATAATAATAATAATAATAATAATAATAATAATAATAATAATAATAATAATAATAATAATAATGATGATTAAAAGATTTTTTTTTAAAGAGTAAACTGGTTAGGAAAAGAAAAGAACAAAGAAAATGAAATAAAGCCTTTTTTTTTATAATTATAGTAAAAACTTACCAGTGAGATAATGCCTCAGGGATGGCCATCTCTGAGGCAGTACGTCACTGGCAGATTATTCTACCCAGCAACTTTTTTTTTTTTTTTTTTTTTGGTTTTTAGAGAAGAAAGAAAGCTTAAAACCAAAAAAAAAAAAAAATCACAGGAAACACATAAGAACAATGGAGATTTTCTAAACATGAGTAGCAAGCATAAAAAGAGTGAAAAACAACAAAGATTAAATAAGAGTGAAGAAGTGTTCAAGAATGACAAAATTGATGAAATTTGTGGCACAAATGAGGAATGCCCTTCGATGGATGACACTCCCTTGAATGAGGACTTTAGAGTGATTTGGGAACCGGGAGGAGTCAATATTTTTGAAAGTGGAGGCCCCCATTGGCCTATATTCATATCCAATGATTCTTCCTTCTTATTGGTACATGAAGAAGACCCAAGACTTTCCCTACTTGCCAATAAAGAGGGAAATCAAGAAGAGGAAAAATGTAGAGATCAAAAAAGGATCAAGCTCATGGCTACTATCTTGATCCAAGGTTTAGGAAGAAATCATTGGTTGATTTATGGATCAAGAATGGATTTGAGGAAAGATGCATGAAGTTCGGAATGAAGAGCAATGGAGTCCTAGCAATTGGAGTGGTGAACTTGATCTTAAAAAAACTTATTGATGGCCACCACTTGAAGTGCTATTTGGAAGAACATGTTGAAGAAAAAGAGATGATGATTGAAGAAGAGGGCATATTCTTGGAAGTGGATCATTGCAATTTCTTTGAGGAGAATATGTTACTTTTGAGCTTAAAGGAGTTCCTTAATGCCCGACATTTAAGGACATTCATTGAAGAGAAAGTGGATCGAGAAAAGGAACTCATCTTCATCCGTTTATGCATGGATAGTTTTTTGAGAGGTTGAGTCGAGCTAGCGACGTTAAACTTAGCGCTTCATGGGAGGCACCCCATGTTATCTTTTCATTTTATTGCACTTTACTTTCTTCTTTATTTTTCTTTACACTTTTATTTTTGATATATCATGCTCTCACTTGTGCAGCTACCTTTTCCCCCTTGTGCTTTATTTTCTTTTACATCGAGGACGATGTAATTTCTAAGTGTGTGTGGGGGGGGGGGGGGGGGGGTGGACAAAATATTGAAAAAAATTTGAAATTTTGAAACTTTTTGAAACTTTGCTTGGATGACTCATTGTGCATAGTATTTGGTAAATTGTTTTTCCTTGCTTGAAGTTGTGATTACTCCCTCTTTGTTGGATTGTGGTTTGATTGTTTGTGCAAATTGGGAGTATGATCAATTTCATTGCTAGGTTGGCAATTTATTTATTGTCTTTGCTTGAGGACAAGCAAATGTTTAAGTGTGGGGGAGTTGATAAGTGTTTATTTGTCTATATTTTCTCCCATTTCTCTAAGCCATTTTGCATATAGATCATTCCAAATTTCATGAGATTGGGACTAAATTGTGTTATTTTGCAAGGAGTTTGGTTTGGAAAGCATTGGAATCAAAGATAAGTAATATCATGCATTTTGGTGGATATTGGAGTCAAGTGGAGCATTATGGATACATTTAGAGTCCATGGTAGCCAAGGAGAAGCTAAGTTGATGGGCAAAACACTTCCAAGGAAACCTAAGAGTGGTGTATTCAATGGTTTTAGTCATTTGGGCAAACCAAAACAAAAGAGGAGCAAAAGATCAAGACATTGTAATTTTCGCTCATTTCAGACACTATTCGATTTTTCGACCATATCTCGGCCTAAGAATGTCCAAATGGGGTGATTCTTGCACCATTGGAAAGACAACTTAAAGGGGTACAACTTTGTTGAAGACCATAAGTGCCAATAAAATGGTTTTAGAGGAGGAAAATAGCCTAGAAATCAAGATAAGTGCACAGAATTCTGTTTCCAGGAACCTCGTACTGCCTCGCGTACGCCCATCCCTCATCCCATCCGAGATCTGAAAAAGGAACCAGGTGGCGTACGCCTTGCCGTACGCCCGTACGCATGCCAGTACGACCATTCCAGTGTTCACTGGAAATGCACCAAAAATGGGACGCCCTTGCGTACGCCCATCCATCAGCCCATCCATCAGCTCAAGAATGAAGCAGGTGGCGTACCCCCTGGCGTACGCCCATCCTTGAGGGCGTCCCTACCTGCTCTGCCCCTTTTTAAGCTCGAATTGAGCTCTATTTCCATGGTTTTGACCCATGGTTGAGCCCTAGACACTCTCTTTCATTCTCCTTCATATTTTTAGGTTAGATTAGGCTTAGATTTATGTTTCTAACACTTTTGAAGCTTGTAATCTTGGATTTGAAGCTTGGATTCCAACATTTCAAGATTCCACCATCCAATTTCTTTAGAGAAGTTTTCTTTCTTTTATCTCTTTCTTTTGCAAGATTTATGTTTAATGCTTGTGCTTTTGTCTTCTTTATGATATTTAATCATGAGTAGTTAGTTTATGGACTTGAGTTAGGGTTGTATTATCTATCTTGATGCTTGATTTGTGATTATTGCAAAAAAGGGGAAGAACACTACCTAGGGTTCATGTGTTTATGAAGGTGTTGTGTTTATATCTTGTTAATGTTTGATGTACACATTCATTGGCATGTATTTGGAGAATTCTTGGCTACAATGAGAATTGGGTCAATGATTTTAGCCACCCCTTGCATAAACCCGATTTCTTCCTACGAAAATAGGGGAAATTGGGGTTTTTAGATGCTTTGTGTGCTTGATAGACTTGGAATTGATTCACCACGAAAGTGGGGCAATTCCATGTTCTAATCCTTGTTTATTGCTTACGAGAGTGGTTGATAAACTAGGATACCTACGTGCTTTCCCGGTTGACTCTTTGTTACTTGTTCTCCCTAATCCCTTAGGTTGTTAAAGCATCTAGATGATAATGCTCCCTAGCTTGAGTCCTATCTCTTTATTTTGTGTTTATCTTTGTGTATATGTGTTAGTCTTATCATTTCCTTAAACTTGTAGTTTGCTTAGCTTCTTGTTGATTTCCTTATGCTAGTGCCTAGTTTATTGTGATTGCATATTGCGTGCCATATCCCCCAAGCCCCTGAGGACGATATTTCACACCCGAGCTCACATCTTATTTTTGCTACATCAAAAATTGTATCCCTCTTTTGACATCTATGATTTCCCCGGCGGTGGCTAGAAATGGCCTACCAAGGATTATTGGAACCTTGGTATCCTCCTCTATGTCAAGAATCACGAAATCTCCCGGAATGTAGTATTGATCAATCATGACCGGGATATCTTCAAGTACTCCCACCGGGCGCTTGATGGAACGATCCGCCATTTGGAGTGTCATGGTAGTGGGCATGGGTTCTCCAAGATTGAGCCTCTTGCATAGAGAGTAGGGCATTAGGCTCACACTAGCCCCGAGATCACATAGAGCACGGCTCACCACAAATCCTCCAACAATGCAAGGGATAGAAAAGCTTCCCGGATCCTTCAACTTGGGAGGCAAATTCTTTTGGAGAACGGCACATGTCAAAGCTCCCTCGCTAAGGTCCACCACCGCACTCTTCTCTAATCTCTTCTTGTTACTCAAAATATCCTTCAAGAATTTTTTGTATGAAGGTATTTGAGTAATGGCTTCCACAAAGGGCATAGAAATCTCCAACTTATCAAGCATTGTTTTAAACTTGTTTTCTCTCTCGGTTTCTTTTGTTTTCCACAACCTTTGTGGAAATGGCAACAAGTTGCAAGGAATCACCGAGTCATCTATTTGTTTGCCCTTGTTCACATTCTTCTTACTTGAGTTGTTTCCTTCTTGAATTGGCTCCTTCCCTTTTGACTTGTTTCTTTGAATTAGAGGCTCATCATCATTTTCACTTTCAAGATTTTTTTCAATTTCCTCTTCATTTGGCCTTTCCTCATCTTCATCTTTCTCAACATCTTCTTCAATTGTAAGATCATTAGAAGGAAAGGGTGGATCTTTCAAAGATTTTCCACTTCTAGTGGTGATGGCGTTGACATGATTTCTAGGATTTTCGGTGTTAGCCGGAAGTCTACCACTAGAAGATGAGGCTTGTGTAGATCCTTGAGTGCCTCCTCCTTGATTTTGGGTTTGTAGATTCTCCACTTGAGATTGCAACTTGCTAATTTGAGACATTTGAGACATCATCATGTTCATTAATGTCTTCATGTCCACATCTTGAGAAGGTTGAGAGGATCCTTGTTGATTTTGATTATTTCCATATCCTTGATTTCCTCTCCATTGTTGATTCAATTGATTTCCACCTCTACTTGCTTGATTTCCTTGAAAACCCGGAGGTGGATTCCTTCCTTGCACACCTTGATTGTTCCAAGAAGACCCAAATTGATTCCTTCCTTGTTGACCATAATTTCCATATCCTTGCCCTTGGTTTTGGGGTCTAGAATACCCAATCATATCCACTTGCTCCATGTTCGATAAAGAGCCTTGGCCACTAGGATCTAACAATTGACAAGCTTGAGAAGCATGAGCTCCTCCACATATGGCACAACAAGCTACTAGTGCCATACTTTGAGAACCAGGAGAATTGCAAGTAGCTTGTGGCAAGGAATACGGAGTAGACATGTAAGATACTTGAGGAGTTTGAGTCACCGCTTGCACATTTTGCTTCGGAGCTTGCATCATATTTTTGAGCATGTGTTGAATTGAATCCAATTGAGCTTGCATGGCCATCTTTTCTTCAACCTCAAACATCCCGGCGGTTTTTTCTTTCTTAGGTGGGTCACTTCTTTCATTATACCAATATGCCGTGTTAGAAGTGATCCTCTCAATCAATTGTTCACCATACTCCGGACCCATATCAATAAAAATGCCTCCAAATGAAGATGTGTCAAGAATGGTTTTTGAGCTATCCAACAATCCCCCATAAAAGGATGAGATGAAATCCCCCGGAGTAAGCAAATTCTTTGGACATTGTCTTCTCAACTCCTTAAATCTTTTCCAAGCTTCATACAAATTCTCATTTCCAAATTTTTGGAAATTTTGAATTTGTTTCTTCAATTTGGCGGCCTTGGAAGGAGGGCAATACTCTTGCATGAAGGCCTTGTAAAGTTGTTCCCAAGTTGTGAAATGGTTGGCCGGAAAGGAATTGAGCCAACTCAATGCTTGGTCTCTCAATGAAAAAGGGAATAGCCTCAACTTGATTGCATCACTTGGAATCCCATTCATCTTGATTGTTTGGCAAATCCGATCAAAGTGGACAACATGAGCCTTAGGATCCTCAACCCTTGAACCTCCAAATTGATTGGCTTGAACCATTTGGATAAGAGAAGTCTTGAGTTCAAAATTGTTGGCATCCACCCCCGGGTAAACAATGCAATCCTCTTCTTCAAACTCCGGAGCTAGATGGGCCGCCATGGGTTGTCTTTGTGGAACACCTTGATAGAAAATAGGAGGAACTCCTTGTGGAAAGTTTTGAGGCATGTTGAACATAGGATTGGCAAAGTTGGGGTGCATTTGATGAAGAAGATTTTGCATACCAACCCCTTGACCTTGTTGTTGTTGAGGTTGCCCATAGCCTTGAGGAATGCCCCCTTGATTCATGTTAGGATAAAATGGGTATTGAGCTTGTGGAAACCCCATTCCTCCTCCAACATAAGGATTGACATTAGGATTTGCCATGAAGTCTTGTGCCGGTAATTGAACGGGAGCAATTGGCACTTGAGAGACATTAGCATGAGCTTCATTGAATTCCCCTTGTCTCGGGCTATGTTGGGTGCTTGTATCATTGGGTGAGATTTGACTGGGATTGCTAGTGTCACCCGTCTCCATGTTTATCTCCAATGATTCAAACTCCTTCAACCAACCAAGCAAGTCTCTTCTTTGTCTCCTTAGCTCCCTTGAGAGTTCTTGGTTGAAAGGGTGAAGGTCTTGGCTCCCTTTAGACCTAGTTTGCATGCACCAAGAGAAGTACCTACAACCAAACTCAAGCAAAGACAACCTTGGAAGCACTTAGTCACAATTTAAAACAAACAAACAAAGGAAAATAAAAGAAAATAAAAACTTGATCTCTTTAGAGTCCATTAACTCTAATGCTAGAAAGACAAAGCAATCACACAATACAACCAAATAAACCAATCCCCGGCAACGGCGCCAAAAAGTTGATGTACGGGAAAGAGATGGTGAGTAACGGGTGTAAATTGTCGTTCCGCAAGGGATTGGGACTATGGCACGTACTTGAGTGACAACTAAAATTCTAGGCACCAAAGTATTGGAACCCACAAGAATCCAAGCAAATTCAAATTCATGGTTGGGTAAAGTTAATAATTAAAGGCTAAAAATCTAGTTAAGACAATGCAATTTAAACACAAGTAAACACAATGATAAAAGATGGGCTCAAATTAGGGGATGTTGCCTTCTAGATGCTTTAACAACTTAGGGATTAGGAGAGAACATCAACCAAGGGAACACAAGGGCAAAGCACATAAAAATCCTAGCTTAAAGCCATTTTCATAAGCTAATAAACAAGGATTAGAGCAAGGATTGCCCCACTTTCATGGTGTATCAAATCCTAGCTCTTAAAGCACATAAGCTTTTAGGCCCCTAATTCTTCCCTATTTTCATAGAAAGAAAATGGGTTTAGAGAAAGGAGAGGCTTAAATTCTTCCCCCAACTTTCATTGTGGAGAAAAACTATGCAAAAGCAAGTTAATAAGAGTTACGTGCCAAATATTAACAAGATTCAACATAAATCCTTCACATACAAATGAACCCTAGGTTAGATATATTCCCCCTTATGCAATAATCACCTATTTAGCATCTAGGTTGGCAATATCACCCTAATCCGAGCCCAAAAACGGACTACTCACACTTCATAAGCATAAATAACAACAAAGCACAAGAAAATATCATAAACATTGCACAAGAGCTTTAAAAGAAGAGTAAGAAGCTTCTCTATTGAAGATGAAGAAATTGTGGTTGAATCCCACTCCAATCCGCGTTTACAAGCTTTCTAGATGAGTTAGAGATGTAATACTAGACTAGTCTAAGCTAAGGAAGTCTAAGGAAATGAAGAGAAATGAGTTCTAGCTATTTAGGGTTCTAACTTCCTCCAAAAATCCAAGAAAATCGCATAAATATTTTACAGAGCACAGAGGTACTGCCTTAGGGATGGCCATCCCTGAGGCAGTATGATTTAATCTTGGTTCACTGGAAAGGGCGTACGAGGATACGTATGGGCGTACGGCAGGGCGTACGCCACCTGCTTCTTTTTTGAGATCTTGGATGGGCTGACGGATGGGCGTACGCAAGGGGGTACGAGGCTGCTGAAAATTCTTAAATGCATTCCAAACTCTTTGATTGATCTCTTGGTCCCAAAATTGCTCGTATCTTCCCACAAATCATTAAATTCCTCACTTGTGAATGATTGTACCTTGAAATAAAACCAACATAACTTAGTCACAATTCACACAAGTTTTTAGGATATTCACATATAAAAAGGGTTCAAGAAGGGGTAAAAATATAGACAAAAATGCACTTATCACATAGCAATGAAATGATCAGTACTATCAGAAACAACAAGATTAATTATTTTACCTTGTTTCCATTGGCCACTTCCCTAGCCATGATCACCAGAATTTTTACCTTCCATTTGTGCCTTTCTTTTCTTCCAGATTTCACAGTCCCTTTTAAAGTGTGGACCGTTGCACACCCAGCATGATACAGATGCCTTTCCTTTTCCTTTCTTCTTAAACTTTGAAGAATTTGCGGCACTGCCTGAAGCCCGGGTGACTTTTGCACTGCCTGCATTCTTACTTTCCTGCAGTCTAATTCCCTCATCAACCCGAAGGTCGACCCCCAACTGTTCCATGGTAAGAGCTTCCTTTTTATGCTTTAAGGTACGTTGTACCTTTTTCCAGGAAGGGGGCAACAATGGCAATGGAATCATCCATATTCATATCATGTTGCCTCATTTGCCCAAGTATCCTGACAATCTCATGGAATTGTTCCATGACCGGACGATTGTCCACCATTTTATAATCATTGAACTCACTTACCAGGAATTTCTTACTGGAGGCATCCTCAGATATATACTTTGCTTCAAGTACATCCCAGAGGTCCTTTGAGGATTCCTCGTACTGATAAATATCAAAGAGGGTGTCAGACATACCGTTTAGAATATGGTCGCGGCAAGCAAGGTCATCATTCTCCCATTTGAGTTTGCGGCGAGTAGCCTCAAGAGTCTCATCCTCTCGTTCCTCCGGCTTTGGGGTACTTAGTACGTATGCCACGTTCAGAGCCGCAAGGAGAAACTTCATCTTCTTCTGCCACCTACGGAAGCCCACGCCTTCAAACTGCTCTAACTTAGGGAAGTTGGTTGCAAAGTCCAGAAGTCCAGAACTCATCCTTCCTCAGAAACAGTATTTCAAAGCTTATAGATTGTCAGAATAATTGAGTGTTTGATGATAGGGAAGTGAGGAAACGAGAACTTCAGGCGTGTAATCACTTTCCTATAAGCTTTAAATCTCTCTCATATAAAGCAACAAGGTTCAAGATTTAATCTTATGGGATACAAGAAGATGATGAAATTCTTAAGTTTCTTTGTTTAAGAACATCTTGTAGAACTGCAGTACTGTGAAAAATCTCAGTTAAAATGCAAGTTTTTGCATGTCACTTTCAGATGTTTCTCCAAAGTATTTATAGATGCAAAATATATCTGTTTGGAGAAGTTACATGGAAGTTGCTGTAATTTAAAACTCAACTTCCATAAGACAAGATATATCCTGAATGATATATCTATTACTGGAGAAATTATTAAATTTATTTTGAGTCAGTAACTGTATGCAAAATTATATACATATACATATATATATATATATATATATATATATATATATATATATATATATATATATATATATATATATATATATATATATATATATATATATATATATATATATATATTCCTTACGCATGAAACCATGCAAAGGATAAATATAAATAATATACATATATGTAGGTCAATAATCTCAAGCATACAGCTACATATACCAAGCATGTTAAGTGTAACATTGAAGCATATAGCTTCAAAATGCATAAAACCTTACGCATGAAAATATCCAAACATGCATTAATACTCTCAAGCATATAGTTATATATCTAAAGCATATAGCTATATATCACAAGCATATAGCTATATATCTCAAGCATATAGCTATATAAAACTCAAGCATATAGCTATATATTCCAAGCATATAGCTATATATCACAAGCATTTAGCTATATAAATTTCTCCCAGTATTTTAATTAACTTTCTACCAAACTAAAATAATATTTACAACTCCACAACTCCAAATATTATTTAAGCTTTCATGTTAGTTCATCTGAAACATTAATCTCCATTACTATATAAATTTCCAATAGTTATTATATACATAAATATTATTCGAATTTTAATTTTAAAATAAGGCAATCATCAAGATCATATATATAAAAAAGAAATGCCCAGCAGGCAGACGTTGTGAGGTGCACACTGCGGGCATGTGAGGTGCTAAAAATGAAAGATGAAAGATTAAAAGAAGAGTACGTGTACAACAAGTAACATTAAAGAAGAAAAGCTTAGAGAGTTTTTTGGTAAATATGTTGATAGTTCCAAAATGATGGACTTAAACCACTATACTCGGAGTACCCCAAATGGTATACCCTATACCTATATACATACATTTTTTTACTGATTGCCAGTGAAAATCAGTATAAAATCTACGATTAAGATCCAGGTGTAAAAAGGATACGAGGTAGAAGGGTAGTTGGTGAGTTTCATTTTTTTGTAACAGATTATGATTTCATGTTCGAGTGGTTTTTCGAATAGGGAAATGATTTGAATTTTAGAATTGTAGAGAAACTTTGGAGTTCAGCCTAATTTGAAGTTTGTAGTTTTTCAAGATTACATAGAAAATCATCTAGATGTTTACGTAGTCCATCTATACAAAAAGTGTGCAATAAAAATCTACAATTTCTACAATCCTCATTTATATATGTATTTGCTTTGAATCAGACCCTTATTATTTTTCCTAAAACTGTTAGGTCCCACAATTAGATCAGTGAAGGCTGGGATCAGGAGGAGTAGGGGGTGGGGAGGTATATATAGTAAGAGCTTTGGTAAGGGTAAAAAACATATTCCAATGTAGATTATTATGTTTGGTATACCCATGAAACATTAGGTATATG